AATTCTAGATCCGCCAATGTGTGTGGATCAATAGTTGTTAGTTTTAAATGTATCAATTGGTTACCCGCACTCAATAAATTTAGCCTACGAAGATAGAAATGCTTGTCATACTTTTAAACATGTTAAAGATGGTCCTTTATTTAGAAAAAAATGGCAAAAAAAAATCAAAATTGAAAACAACGGGTTCAGTAAATTCAATGATTTTTTTTCCATTTGCCGCATTTATAAAATTTGATGGATCCGGAATTTTCCGAATTCTCTTTTGTGTCTGTACAGGGATCATAAATCAAATTTTTATCGAGAACCTGAATCATTTTTTGGTATAGTTTAATGCAGATTGATTGCATTAAAAATAGCCCAAAACCTATCAATTTCAATCATAAAAATTTCAATAAAAACTTCCGTCTCAATTTTTGAAAACTTGTATATATAAACACGTAATAAATAAAAAAAATTGTTAGAAGAGTTATTTCTGACTGTAAGAAATTCTATACTAAAACTTCTTAATTTTTGAATTAAAATTAAGTACACAAAAAAGGAAGTTATGGATTAAAAAATTCTCAGAAGGAAGTTAGAGAAAGAAGCTATAAATAGTTCTTGACTAAATTAAAAAGAACAAACAATTCGGGCAATCGATTTTCTTTGAATCTTATTGAATCTTAAGACCTGTCAATTGATTTTTTAAAATTTATTTGTTCATTATTTTTTCTAAGGAAAAAGTGTAAGATTTGAGCATAAAACAGTTACTGAAACAAGATATCATATAAAAAGAAAATATTTAATTTTTTTCTCAGGTAAGTTATTTGTTTTACTTTGGTAAAAAAAATAGCAGTAAAGCAAAGTCTACCGCGTTATACCATGCTTTAAAAAAACAATTGCGCTGGTTTAAAAATATACGAATGGAGTAGCAGTTATTTAGAACTGATCACTGAGGAATCATTTCAAACTGCCTCAAAAGCCTGTAGCTAACAGGAGCCAGGCCAAAGTTGTTTGTCCAAAAAAAATTAGTTTAAACATTTTCCAGCTACACTGGATGCATTAAGAGAAATTTAGCGCATCAAACTTTTAAAAAAAACTTTGAAGATTGAAAACAAAACGAAGTATTTGATAAAACCACAAAAACAATAGAACACGCATAAGTTCACGTTTTTTTATTCAAATTTTTATTAATTAAGCTTACAAAAATTGATTAAAATGCTCAAAAGGCGTAAAAAAATCAGATCCACTCAAAATGAAGCCTAAAAAAACAGCTACTAGTATTCAATCCGCCAGCCAGGTGGCTTCTGAGACCAGTTTTGGTTAAATCATATTGGATTTCAACCTTGAAAATAATGAAAAACTCTCACACAAAAACAAACAATGATTATGGTGAAAGTGTAATTATCAAGTTCTTTCTCTGTCCTTTCTAAACTTAAGCTTTTTTGAAATAAAGATGTGAGATGCTTTTTGATTATCAATAAGTTCAAAAAAAATGTCTAGCATTCTTCTAGTCCTAATCTCTTAGTTTTTGCTGTTTTCTTAAGTATTCGAACATTTTCAATTTCAAAATAGAGTTCATGGGTCTTGGCAGAAGGTGAACAATTGCTCTACCCTCCTCAAAATCCTCAACAAAACTCAAACTGGCGTTATGTGCCTTTATATGATCATTAGCTATAAGCCGTGTCGAGGTGCTGGATTTATGTTTTGATTTGGAAAGTCGAGTAAGTGCAGTTTTTCTACTGAAATTCCGCGGTCGAGAAGCAATTTTAGGCCGAGAACAAAGTCGAAACATGCCCAATTTTGGTCGAGAGAGTCCAAAGTTACCCAAACTTGGTCAAGAATCAAGAATGTCCAAGCAGAGGTCGAGAAAGTCGAAGCGAAGATCGAGCACAATCGCAACTTAATTTTTTTCAAAATTTAAGTTGAATTTGAATTGGAAATTGAGCAAAACAATTTGCTCAGATAAAACCTCAGTCAACAATTGCAACCCACAACAACCAAGTGAGGAGATTTGCATACCAAAAATTGAAGTTTCAGAGGAAAACTTTTAAGTTTTGAAAACCGAAGGTTTCCTGTGGCAAGAAAAAAAATTCTAGCACAAGTTCCTCAAATATCAGTTTTCACAACAACAGTTTGCGAGATTGAGAGATTGAACTTGAGAAAAATTTGTTTTTGATTGAGGAATTTTGCATTTTACAGGTTCCTATAGATTATTCTCAAATCAAGCATAATCCCAAAAAATTAACTGAAAAGCATACATTATAACTTTTTGTCGAATTACTCATTCTAATTGATATTCAAGAAAGTCGAGAAAGTCGAAACATAGGTCAAGCAGAGTCAAATTATGGGTCGAGAAAGTCAAAACCTAGGCCGAGCACAGTCGAAACATAGGTCGAGCACAGTCGAAACTTAACAATATTTTTATCAAGGAAGTGAAAACATGCGTCTGGCACAGTCAAAACATAGGTCGAGCACAGTCCAAACATAGGTCGAAGAGAGTCGAAATATACGTCGAGTACAGTTGAAACATAACAATATTTTGATCGAGGAAGTCGAAACATGTGTCTAGCACAGTCGAAAAATAGGTCGAGCACAATCGAAACTTAGTTCGAGCACAGCCAACACATAGATCGAGGACAGTCGAAAAATTTGTTGACCACAGTCGACACATAGGTCGAGCAGATTTTTCTTTTATTTTTGATACCGTTTCCACAACTTCTCCAAAACTTTACCTCAAATCTGTAGTTTTCCTGTGGAAAAAGGCATATCATACGTTTTCGATTCTAAACCTGTATGATAAAGTTTGTTTTGTTCGAAAATACATTTGCTGTAGTCGAATTTGCTCATCCTGCAAGCTTATCCTCAACTTTTTTCTAGGAAAATTTTTTTGACGACCATTTTTTGGTTGGACTCCTGAAACTGTATATTAAGTATTTTTCGTGTTTGCACGTAAGTCCGGTTGAACATATAAGTGCATTTGAAATTTCTCATATTATATTTAGAGAGATGAATCATAGTTTTGTCAGCGCTTGACTTTTTGCCATTACTTTAAAGCTGGCTAGGTTTGTTCCCTTTCTGTATGAATCTACTCTTGTGCCGGCTTTTGAAGAATACGGAACTTTTATACTTGGTCAGTTTTCTTTTCAGTCATTTTCCGGCAATTAAAATGTTAGTTTCTAAAAGAATTTTGAAAATATTGATTCCCTGAAGTCAAAACTAAAAAGATTTTACAAAACGTCATAACTTGAACACGTCTTGTTCAAGAAACGTTTCATGTTTATAATTCTAATGTTTTTAAGGCGTCATTAGGACTGTACTGGCCCATCCTGACAATAGAGTTTTAATTTATCTGAAACTGAAAAGAGATGTCTGGTAGATATTTAACGGGATGAAAAGTCTAAGATAACTTTTCCATTGCACCGTACAAGTTTCGGTCTTCTCACACTCTGCTGTGATTCTCAGATTCGCAATTAAACAAAACAAGACTTCTCGTACCCTGAACGTGCCGACTGCCTTTTAAGGTCTATGGAGCAGTGTTTAATTTCAGAACAAAAGATGAATTTGTCAATCAAGAATGAAAAAGATGCCTTTTTTAGTTTTTTTAAACTATTCTCCTAGACGCCATTTTAGGAGCATAATGGTAGATTTTGCTCCTAGTAACACAGAAATTATGACAAAAAGCCTGCTTCAACCAATTTGGAGCCACTTTCTGAGAGTGATTAAATATCGCTTACTCATTAATAGCGCGAAACATATGGCAAGTTTAGTGTCCCAAATTGGCAAGAATGGCAATCTTTAAACCCTCGTGTTTTTACGGAAAAGGATCACAGGTAAAGTATCCTTTTGAATTTGAGCTTAAGACAACAATACTTAAAAAAATCTATTAAACATTCTTTGTTAAAATGTCGAAATTTGTATGGAGAAAAAAACTACCCCGAGCACAAATATTCTGTCATTTTCTTCGAAAGTCGGAAAAATTAGCTCAAAATCTGAGCCCACATTTCAACTGCTGCTATAGTTTAATCTTAAAAAATGGAAGAATTAAATTGAAATTTAGCAAGCCAATTAGCAGTTTTGGTTTTTCTGTGATAAAAATGAACCAATAAATTCAAACTAATTTCCTGTTACCTGTTTTTTAACATCATCAATGAATATTTGGACCAAGTTAACATCTTCCGCCCAAAGTCGTTTTGGAGGGGGATGTTAACTTGGTTCTAAGTTGGGATTTTTCAGCCAATATGACATGCAGCGCTTAACAAATTTAAATTAAATTAAGCGCTGGAGTGAAGGATCGTAACTTGGTCTAACTGATGGGGGGGGGGGGGGTGGGATGGAGGATACTGTTAACCTAACTTGATCCGAATATTTTCCACAAATTAGATTAACCTCTCATCTAGTTCATAAACGAGATTATAAAATTAATTGTTTTAAAAATTTCTCTTAATTTTATTCTGGGTTTCGATACAAAAGACAGAATCTATGCGCGCGGGCTGGTTTCCTGCTGTTAAACTTCAATCTTTCAATTAGCTTTTTTTATACAATTTTTTTCAACCAAACTATAAAGATGTGATGCTTTGAGCTTAACACTGATTTTATCCGTGATAAATTTCGGCGGTTTGAAAAGAAGAAGTATAATATTTAAAGCTCGAAAAAAAAGCACATTAGAAAACAAAAAATGTTAGAATTAGCGTTGTGAAAAAAATAAGGACTTAGATTCTAGTAGGAGCAGTGATCGCGCAAATTTGAGTCGTAAAAAATAATTTAACAGAAACTGAATATCACACTATACAATTGCTTTGAGACAAATTGTTTTTTAACCAAATTACAAACCTCGTTCCGATGCCTACGGTAATCCAAAAACGTAAATGTAGAAAGAAACTTTGAATGACGTAATTAGCTTGCTTTAGAATGAACATGAAATACAAACATTAATTAACTCTAAAGATACTAAAAACATTTACAAAAAGCATCTGAAATAAACTGCTTTCTCTATTTTATTCTTCAGAATTATTAGGTTTCTCAAAACGTGTTCTTTAGCAAGTTTTCTTTTGGTTGAGATTTGAAACAAGTTTCAGCTGAGAAAAAGGTAAGTGATTATTGTGAACCCAATGAAAAACTAAGAAAAATACTTTGCTGATGTTCGGCTGTTTTTGTCTACTTCAAGCAACTTTTTGTCTACTTCGACTGTTTTTGTCTACTTCATACAATTGAGTACAAATAAGTACAAAAAATACCTCCAGCAGAAAATCAGCAGCTTTGTATTTAGTATAAAATATAGAGAGTACTTTTTGACCCACGTTGACCTCAAAATATGCGTGGGTTGGCCTCCATTGTTTAGAATTGCTGTCGGAAAAAATTTTTTAACTCCTTCAGACAATTAAAGCATTTTACGCTTGGGCGTTGGGCTATGTTTTTTTTGTTGTTAAGATGAGTGCTGTAAACGAAAGCTTTTTTCCGTCTGGTTAATTCTGGGTGAGCTCATTTTGCTGTGCACCGAACTTTTCCATGTTCTAATTTTTGGTTTGACTGGATATAACATAAGTTTTTTTATATATATAACATCTCAAGCCGTAGCATTGATGATCCTTGGCTGATGATAACTAACTAATCAAGGAAGGGCATCTGAATTTAAGAGCAAATGGAGGAAAACTGTTAATATATTCTTTGCATCTAGTTTTGGTATTTTAAGTAGATATCTTTTTCCAATCTCAGCTAAATGAAACCTGCTCTGCCTTTATGATGAGGGTAGTTTTTCAATTTGAATAATTTCAATCTGACTCTTTGATACCATTAAAATGAATTTATCAAAAATGTCTTAAATGAATTTATCTTATCTTATCTAAAATTTATCAAAAATTTCGCAAAAATTTTATTTTGGTTGAGATTTGAAACAATTTCAGCTGAGAAAAAAGTTAGTGATTATCGTGATTCCAATGGAAAACTAAGTAAAATAATTTGCTGAAGTTCGGCTGTTTTTGTCTACTTCAAGCAACTTTTTGTCTACTTCGGCTGTTTTTGTCTACTTCATACAATTGAGTACAAATAAGTACAAAAAAAGATTTCATCAGAAAATCAGCACCTTTGTATTCAGTATAAAACAAAGAGAGTGTTTTTGACCCACGTTGACCTCAAAATATGCGTGGTTTGGCCTCCATTGACTGAAATTGCTGTCGGAAAAAATTGTTTAACTCCTTCAGACAATTAAAACACTTTACGCTTGGGCGTTGGACTATGTTTTTTGTTGTTGTTAAGATAGTGGCTATAATTTTTTGCTGCTTATATTTTTCGGTGTTAAGATGAGGGCGGTAAACGAAAGCTTTTTTCTGTCTGGTTAATTCTGGTTGAGCTCATTTTGCTGTGCATCAAACTTTTACATAATCTAATTTTTGGTTTGACTGGATATAACATAAATTTTTTATTTATATAACATCTGAAGCCGTAGCATTGATGATCCTTGGCTGATGAAAAATAACTAATGAAGGAAGGGCATCTGAATTTAAGAGCAAATGGAGGAGAACTGTTAATATATTCTTTGCATCTAGTTTTGGTATTTTAAGTAGATATCATTTTCCAATCTCAGCTTAATGAAACCTGCTCTGCTTTTATGATGAGGGTCGTTTTTCAATTTGAGTAATTTCAATCTGACTCTTTAATACCATTGAAATAAATTTATCAAAAATTTCTTAAATGAAATGTAAAACGGAAATACTGCCGTGTTGTAGCATTTAAAGAAACTTTATTTTTTTAACAATTTTGCACTATTTGAACGTTACGCACGCACGTAATTTTTGTTTTTGTTGAAATTCAGCGTAATTGAAATATTTTTATGGTCGAGTAGCCAGGTTGTTTTCATAAAAAGATTGAGGTTTTTGCTAGTGTAAGGGATTATCTCCTTGTTATAACAGTTGCTTTTGAAGATTTTCTTTTATCTCGGGTTTTAATTTTATTCTTCCTCTCCCACAACAGAAAAATTTCGAGCCGAAATAAGCCAGAACAAAAATGAAAGTAATTCAAAAGTTTAATTTCCTCTTCACTACTCGTTTTTACTAATTTTGTTCAAATCTTTTTTTTTCAAATCAACATTATACAAAATTTGGTGATATGAAATTCAAGTTCAAATTTCAAGTTTGAACTCAGACGCAGGTACAAATTACAATGTTGTTATGCATTCCGTCAGAGACTGTATACAGGCAAATTTTTCTATCTAGTAGCCAGTTTCTTTTTATGGCCGGTTCCCCATACCGGTTCCCTTTAATTGAGGATGGGCTTGTAAGAACCTTTAAATAATTAGAATACAACAGCTCATAAAAATTCCGATTGTCTCTTAAATAAACCATTTTAAAGTTTGTAAAAAATTCTGAAACACAGTATCAGACATTTTCTTAAGTTTTGTGGGATTACAATTTTTTTTTGCGCAGTATTTTAACATTCAATTAGATTAATAGAAAAAGCATCATCCATTTTTTGCGAGCATGCTAGTTTTACCGGCAAACGACTTTCAATCATTGATCGTTTAGAAGTTAAGAGCTTGATGCAAATCGTGTCAATTAAGTTCTATTAACAATTCAGGCAAACCAAAGTTTAAAATAGGTTCCAAACTCTATGAATTTTTTTTACTAGATGCTGTTTTACAATGGCCATAAATGGGAACGTAATGCCCACTGCAGTGCTCAAAGCAAGTTGTTTGTAAGTGGCAAATAAATTCGCTGTCCCCACCATCTTATTCAACCTGAGGCCAGCTCATGAATTCTCAAAAAGAATCAATCAATTCAAATGGCACTCCAAAAAAGAGGGGCAAAAAATTGAAAAGTGCACAACTTTTTCCAAGTCAGCTCTACTCAAATAGAGAAAAAATACAGTGCAGTTGAGCAGATTTGTCTCTCTACTTGTACTTGTAATACCGTTTTAACAGATCAACTGTATCAAAGATTTTTTAATGCAAAAAGAAAAACTCTAAAAAAGCGCAATAGAAATTGTCTCACTATCGGAACTATATGATTGATACTAAACTCTAAAAAATGTCAATTATCTAACTGGGTCGAACAAATTCGAACACTTTTCTGTTGGGTTGAGAAAGTCAAAACATACCAACATTAGGTCGAGAAAAGGGAAACATACCAAAATTTGGTCAAAGCATACCGATTTTTGGTCGAGAAAATCTCAACATAAATTGAGCCTCTCGACCCGGGAACAACAACCAAACTGGTAGTCAAAATTCTTCAGCAAAGTTCTGGCCAGATAGCATAGTAAAGCAGTTAGAAGTTGCCCATGTTGACAAAATTGTTACCATAGAGTTTCATACTTTGTAAAAAAAAACAAAAAAAACTTATTATACATTTTCTTACTATTTCATGGACTAGAAAAACTGTATGAAAAGAATATCATAAGCTTTTTTCCATACCATCAAAACTTATAGCAGTCGTTTTTTCCACAATCTGATGTCAATCACAATGTTTTTGCCTAAATTTTTTATTGCACAAACTCTCTCACAAAAAAAATTGAAAAACCATTTTTCGAGCGCTCTAAACTCATCAAAAGTTTTATTGATTTTGTAACCTTTACCAATTTTCATGATACAAAATTTGCAGTTCGCGGGCAACTCTTTTGTTTAGGCAAAAACTCACAACCCAAGAATTTTTATCACAAGAAAACCCAGATCGTAAGTTGCATTAGCCTCGCAAATAGACTCAATTTGGTCATGAAAATCATGTATATTTATGTAAACAGTTTGACCCAGAATTATTCACCAAAAATGTAATTTGTTTGACATGGGTAGAAAGATTTTATCTTGAGAGTTTTCATAACTGAAAACAACGGTTTCTTTTTTCTACAAAATCAGGTTAACTTTAGCATTTAAATACAATGTTTTTGTTCTCTATGTGCTTATAAAAATACCACATGCTTGTGCTTTTTGGAATTTTGGTTGAAAAACTTAACCTGGACTACGTTATACTAACAAATATCAAATTTTGCATACAGTTTAGTTTTTGGTAAGTGTTTGTCTGAGCACAGAAGCAATTTTACAATCAAAAGAGGTAGAACAAAAATTTTACCTCAAATTTGTAGTTTTCCTGTGGAAAAAGGCATATCGTAGATCTTCAAATGCAAGCTTAACCTACAATTTTTTTCTATGTTCTATTTCGTTGGACTTGTGATATGAATTTGTATAATATGCATTTTTCTTGTTAGTACGTAAGACTGGTTGAACATATAAGTGCATTTATAATTTCTCATATTATATTTTAGAGCGATGAGTCATAGCTTTGTCAGCGATTGACTGTTTGCCATGACTTTGAAGCTGACTAGGTTTTTTTTCCTTTTTGTATGAATCAACTCTTGTTGAGCCGACTTTCGAAGAACACGGAACTTCTATACTAGGGGTCGTCTTTTTTTCAGTCATTTTCCGGCGATAAAAAAATTTGAGTTTTTAAAAAAATTGTGAAATAATGATTCCCTGAAAATCAATATTTTGACTCAAATATTGAGTCAAAAGTAAAAAAAATTCACAAAACGTCATAACTAGTTCGAGAACGAGATTTAAAAAATTAATTGTTTTTAAAATTTATCTTAAATTTTTTTCTGGGTTTCGCTACAGAAGACAGAATCTATGCCCGCGCGCTAGTTTTCTGCTCAGTTAAACTTCGATCTTTCAATTAGCCATTTTTTATACATTTTTTTCAATCAAACTGAAAATTGTGATGCTTTGAGCTAAACACTGAATTTATCTGTTTGAAAAGAAGAAGTATAAGATTTAAAGCTGGAGCGAAAAAAAGTTCAAAAGAACACAAATAATGTTAGAATTAGAGTTGTCAAAAAATAAAGACTTAGATTCCAGTAGGAGCAGTGATCACGCGAGTTGGAGTTGTAAAAAAATTAGTTTAATAGAAACTGAATATCACACTATACAATTGTTTTAACACAATTTGGTTTTCAACCAAATAAAAACCGCGTTCCGATGCCTACGGTAATTCAAAAACATAATGGAGAAAGAAATTTTGAATAACGTAAAAAGATTGCTTTAGAATGGAAATGAAACACAAACATTAGCTAACTGGCTGAAAGTACTAATTTTTTTTTTACAAAAGG